TCCAGGCTGTTTGGGCTCCTCCTCCACCCTGTGCCCCCTCCGGCCCTTTGTGTGGCCATTCAGGATCAAAGCGGACACCCACCTGCATGGAGCCGTTTGGTGTGTGAAAGGGGCCGTCGGTGCCAGCAGCTTCTAGAGCAAGCGAATCTTGTGGCAGGACCCAGCTCCGCCAGGCTCTGGCCACAGCCACGCTGTCTTTCTGGACTTGTCTTCCTCCTTGCGGCTTCTCTGGGGCTCCTTGCTTTGCCATCTGGTGAGGTCCCCTGCGCCTCCCCCCACAGCCTTGCGGGAGCTGGGCTGCCCCAGCAGATACCGCGACCTGGGCGCTGCCATGCCATGGGGTGAGCGGTCGCCCAGGGCCTTGTTCTCTAGCAGGAGTGAATTCCCTCTCCTCTCCCTGGGCACTGACACGGTGACCAGAGACTTCCACTGCCACCAAACCCCTGGGCAGCCCAGAGCCTCCTGCTGAAAGCAGCACGGCTGTGTGTGGGACCCTGCTGGGGGCCCCCTGGAACATGGGCTTGAGGGGCCTGTGAGATGGGGGCTTTGACTCACTAAGGCAACTCTGAGCTGCTGTAACAGAGACAGGAGACTCTCGCAGTCACCCCTCAGCCGGGCAGCGGCCACCAGTGGGAGTCCTGGCTCCAGTTCTATTCGGTATCTTCACAGATGATTTGGATAAGGGCATTGAAAGCACATTCATGACGCCTGCGGGCCGTACCACGCTAGGAGGAGGTGCAATCACTTGGGAGGGCAGGGTTAGAATTCAAAATGAGCTGGACAAACTAGAGAAATGGTCTGACATCAACAGGACAAAATTCAGTAAGGACGAATGCAAAGTGCTCCACTGAGGAAGGACCAATCAGTTGCACACATACAGAGTGGGATATTACTGCCGAGGAAGGAGTGCTGCAGAAAGGGATCTGGGGTTATGGTGGTTCACAAACTGAATTTGAATTAGCAATGTACTATTGGGAAAAAAACCCATGTCGTTCTGGGATAGATTCCCATCCACGACTGCTGTTAGCCAATATCTCCAATGGCCGGTAATGGGACACTAGATGGGGAGGGCTCTGAGTGACTACAGGGAATTCTTTTCCAGGTGTCTGCCAGTGGGTCTCACCCACAGGGTCTAACTGATCTCTGTATGTGGGGGAGGGAAGGAATTTTCCCCGGATCAGTCCCTGGGAGGATTTTTGCCTTCTTCTGCAGCATGGGGTCACTTGCTGGGGTGAACTAGAGCAGTGGTTTTCTTCCTTTTTTCATTTGCAACCCCCTACAAAATGTTGAATGGAGGCGAAGACCCCTTTGGAAATCTCTCTGTGGACCCCCAGGGTCTGTGGACCACAGGTTGAAAACCACTGTCCTAAAGTAAATGGTGGATTCTCTGGACCTTGAAGTCTTTGAACAGTCTGTTGCAGGAGTGGGTGGGCGAGGTTCTGTGGCCTGTGATGTGTAGGTCAGACTGGATGATCCTGATGGTTCTGTCTGAGTCAATGGGGTTGTGCACACTAGCACTTACTTCGGTAGAACGTCAGTCGCTCAGGGTGTGAAAAAGCCAGCCCCCGAGCGATGTAAGTTGCACCGACCCAAGCCCCGGGGTGCACAGCCCTGTATCAGTGTGCGACGCGCCCCCACAAACACAGCTACCGCTGTCGTCATGCAGCGTCTGCACGAGCAGAGCGACAGAGGCGCAGCTGCAGTGATTCTAGTGTGGACTAGCCCTACGAGTGCTGTGCAGCAAGGCACGAGGAGTAGTTCTTCCACTCCACTCAGCGCTGAGAAGGCCTCAGCTGGAGCCCTGTGTCCAGTTCTGGGCACCACACCACACCTCAGGAAGGACGTGGACAAACTTGGAAAAAGTCCAGAGAAAAGCAACAAAATTGATCAAAGGTCTAGAGAACATGACCCGTGAGGGGAGACCGAAGCAATTGGGTTTGTTGAGCCTGGAGAAGAGAAGACTGAAGGGGGACATACGTATAAGGTTGTTATAAAGAGGAGGGTGCTAGGTTTAGCTTGGACATCAGGAAGAATGTCCCACCTGTCAGGGTGGTTAAGCACGGGGAGGAATTACTGAGGGAGGCAGTGGAATCCCAGTCATTGGAGGGTTTTAAGGACAGATTGGACAAATCCCTCTCAGGGCTGGTCTAGGTAACACGTGGTCCTACCTCAGTGCAGGGGCCTGGCCTAGGTGGCCTGTCGAGGTGCTTCCAGGCCTATGTTTGTGTGAGTCTATGCGCTGTGCCTTGGACCAAATGGCTCCTGGTGCCATGACGGGGTCTGGGTGCAGTGACCGCCTGGGCAGTGCGGGCACATCAGTGTGGTGGAGGGGCTGTGCCTAAGTTACTCAAGGCCCTGAGCAGCTCTCCGGCATGTGGACTGCTCCCTCTGCGCATTACCCCTGTGCAGCCAAGCCGATGGGCAGGAGGAGGCTGTGCCAAGGTCTTCCACTGTGGCCTGGTATTTTCAGCTTCCCTCTGGCATCCGTTCCTGGCACAGGCTGAGGTTTGTACATCTGGAAATCCAGTCAAGTGGCCAGCCCATCTCTCCACAGACCCCAGGGAAGGCAGATGGCTCCCCATTTCTTCAGTGTGGTGGTGTGTCTGTTGCGAAATACGGCCACATGCTGGCTGCATCTGGCTTGTCCTGACACTTAGTGGGTGGCCTGGGCCACTCTGAGCTCCATCAATGGCTATTAGCCAAAATGGCCAGGGACACAACCCCGTGCTCTGGGTGTCCCTAGCCTCTGACTGACAGTGGCTGGGAATGGGTGACAGGGGATGGATCACTTGATTACCTGTTCTGTTCATTCCCAGTGAAACACCTGGCATTGGCCACTGTCGGAGGACAGGATACTGGGCTAGATGGACCATTGGTCTGACCCAGTATGGCCATTCTTATGTCTGTGTGATCCCCTAAAGACTTGGGGGCCTTCCAGGCCCTCTGGGATTACCAGGCTGTGGCTGGAGATGGCACCATTCCCATACACACCTTGTGAGATGCTGGGCATGGATCATTGCATTAGGAGTAGATCTTGCTCCGTGGCCAGCAGGGGGGCACCAAAGGGGTCGGGGGCACATGTTCCCTTCCCTGTCAGGGGATGGCTGAGAGCTGCTGGCTGGTGCCATGTCACAGAGCTAGGCGGGGGTTGAGGTTGTTCTCTGGGGCTTATGAGCCAGACAAGCCCCATTGACATGCTTGGCTAAACCAGTGGCATGGGCCTTCGTGGTTCCATCTTTGCAGCAGTGGGGAGGCTGTTGTAGAAGGGTGCATGCTTTTGTGAGTTGGGGGGCTGCCCCAGTGTGGGGCAGCTGGGGGAAAGTTTGCAGGGAGGGGTAGATGGAGTGGGAGGCAGTGGGCAGGAGGGGGCTCTGAGCAGTGTGGGGAGCAGGAGGGGGCAGTAGCAATGCAGAGCATATGTCCTTTGTCAGAGAAAGTTGGGTCAATATCCTCTCCCCTGCTTTACCCAGGAGGAAACTGAGGCACGGTGCGAACAGGGATGGGCTCAAGACCTAGGAGCCAGGAGTAGAACCCAAGGAGTCCTGGCTCCCAGCCACTGCTACGTACATCTTCCCAGGAAACGGCTATCTGTGAAATATACAGCGCCCCGGTGGGATTTGGGGGGCAGCCCTGGTGGATCAGCCGTGCAGAGAACGCTGGGTCCTCCCTGTGTGGTGTTCCCCCGGCAGGCCTGGCCTTTGGGCCAGGGAGCCAGCTGCCTCACTCCCTTTCCTTCCTCAGAGGGGCTCCTGGGGACTCTCTGGCTGCAGCGTGGGTCGGGGACTTTCCAGCAGGCTCTGCTGTCCTGGGGCTTCCTTCGTGGCGGCTGGCACAGGAGGAGGGGGCCATAGCAGATTGTTATCTGGAAGCTGGCAACTCTGCCCTGTCCTGGCGCCGAGATGGCCTGGGCTCTGTAATCTCCTAGCAGAGCGGCCCCGAAATGCTCCTGTGTCTGCCCAGCGCCGCCCTGGTGCCTACTGCATCCCCAGAGACTTGGCTGAGCGCCCGGGCAGAGGCACTGGAGATGGCCCACCCGCCCAAGTGGGGCACTTTGCTGATGTGGGGGCAGCCACCTTCCACCCCAGGCTCGGCGGGATGGGGCTGTCCATGGGTTACAGCACCATGTGCCCCCAGCTGCAGGGCGTGTGGGAGCCGAGGGGCCACGCAGCACCCCTGCAGGGCGTGGCATGCTTTGCTAAGGGGCGGGGCTGCGAGTCCCTCGGGGAGGGATCTTTGGGGCACTGGGGCAGTGTCTCAGAATGATCGGGAGGTTGCTTGCAGCTCCTGCCAGTCGGCTGAGGCCTGTGTGGTCTCAGGCTACACCGGGAAGGGCTCCTGGGCTGGGCTGGCCTCTGGCCAGGAAGCTGGGCTCCGGGAAGTCTTGGCGTGCCTGGGACAAGGAGTGTTTCCTGCTGTCTCGGGCCTTTGGCTCAGCTCCCCCCGGTGTCTGTCCTTCCCGGCACTGACAGTGGAGTGGTGCCCCGCCTTGGACCCTGGCTCCTGCCCTGCCACGGGCAGTGATCTGCTGGTGCCTGGCTGGCCCCAGAGGGAGTGTGGGTGGCCGGGACGCGGGGAGTTGCTCAGCTCCGCGGACAGGGCAGGGGGCAGCACCAGAGCGCTGGTCTTCAGGGGCATCCAGGAGCTGTGCTGGGTCCCAGAGCCGTGTGGCTCACACTCTGCTCCCGGGGAGCCTGCCAGAGCTCTGGGCCCAGTTCTCAGACCGGCACCTGGCCCCATTGCACGGGGTGATGGCGCTGGAGCTGCTCTGGGAAGGCCTGGCTCACACCCCAGCCCGGCTTGGCAGTGGTGCCGGGGAAGGACCAGGTGTAGGGCCGCGGGGACCAGCCCGCGGCGTTGGGAGAGTGGGACTCTGTGCTGGAGCCTGAGTTGAGGTGGCCCCGCTCCCTGCCATCACCCCGGGAGCCTGACCCTTCCTGTGCCAGCCCAGCACACCCAGCTGTCCCTGCCTGTCCTCACCATGTTGTTTCCTTCCCCCGCAGGGAGGCCCTCCAGGTCACACTCCACCATGTCACTCTCCGTGCGGCCCCAGCGGCGCGCCCTTGCTGCCAGGATCAATAGGAGCCAGTCCTTCGCCGGCCTGAATTCGACCCCGGACAAGGCCTTCAGGTAGGACCTGGAGGCTGGCTGCTGCTGGTGGGAGTGGGGCATCGGATAGCCTGAGCGTTTGCTGGGGGTGCCCCTCCCGACTCGACACTAACCCACTCAGCAGGGACCTCCGTGGCACCTCGCACAGGAGGGTCACAGCATCAGACAGATGCAAGAAAGGGGCAGAGAATCCAGACTCCCAGTCCCCTGCTCCATTGATGTGTCACCCCCATTGGCTCCCTTCATGGCTGCTGGCCTGGGGCAGTCTGTGGAGGGGACATTCCCAGAGCCTTGCACTGGGCAGAGCCTGGCCGGCACATCATTTGGGAGAATCGGGTGGTTGCCGAGCAGCTGGGCGATGCACTAGCTTGGGACCTGATCCGCCCCCCGCCGCTGTGCGAGATGGGCACAGCGTCCCTGCAGCCCAGGGCGTGGTGGGGCTGGCTTACAGTGTAGCAGGGGATGATGGGGTCGTCCAGCAGCTCTTCAGACCGAACTCTGCTCCCCCAGCTCAGATGTTCAGCTCCGAGGTGCTTTCCACAGGAGTCCCCATCTGCCCCCAGCCCTTGTCTACAAAGATCCTCCCCGGCCCCGTTGTGCAGGCTGCTTTGGGTCATGCGGCTGCTCCCCCGAGGTGGCTGCAGTGGAGGGCGGTCTGGGTCCCTAGCTTGGCAGTGCTGTGGGGTCCTTGAGCCCGAGGGGGGCCCATAGGATGTGTGATGTTCTGCCTGGCTCCAGCTTTGGGAGCTCACTGGACCCTGGCTTTGCTCCCTGTGCTGCATGGGATTTGGCTGCTGAGAATGGGAAGTGGCCCTGGGGCGTTGTCCATGGATCCAGAGGGCCACAGGGCTCAGGGCTCCTGGAGCTGGCTGTCCCTTGCCACGGTGCAGTGTGGTGAGGCACAGAGCCACCTGCCACTCCCCTGAGATGCAGCCTGCTGGGTAGTCATGTCATGGCTGGGCTGATGGGCAGCAGCTTCCCCAGGCTGGGACAGCCGTTCCCGCCCAGGGTGCTGGGGCCCCGGGGTGCTGCTGGCTCTGGCGTTGCTCCAGCCACTCCCCCTGGCTGTGGCTCTTCCTGGCAGCGAAGCACCTGGGCATCAGTAAAAGCAGCTGGAACCCGGAGCCAGCCTGGGGCCCCTGCTGCCGGAGGAGTTGCCCTCGGGGCCAGCACCTGTCAGTGGGATTGGAACTGGGAGGGCCAAGGCAGCACTAGGTGGCTGGGCAGTACGTCGCAGGGGCAGCGTGTGCAAGGCAGGGAGATGGCCAGAGGGAGGCAGTGTGGTTAACAGGACAGCAAGTCCTCACTGCACCGGTCCTGCGAGAGGCGGTGGCTCTGGGCCGTGGGGGCCGAGTCAGTGGCCACACTGGGGGTGATGGCCAGTGGGAGGGGAGACAGGGCTCTCCCAGGCAGCTGCAGTGGGAACCCAACACAGCAGCTCTTCCTGGCTCACCATGCCAGGAGAGCCCACCAGTTGCCTTGGAAATGGCTCAGCTCCAGGACTGGCTCCAGGCAATGCAGTGGCGTTCCGGCGACTCCCAGCATGGCTAAGGCATGTGCCATGCCCCATGGGCATGACCCCTCTGGGGCTGCTGTTGTGTCATAGCTCAGGGGTGCCCTGGTGTGCCTGGGCCAGAGGATCCTCTCCCAGGCAGAGTGCTCCTGCCTGCTGCCTGGCTGGGTCCAGGAGGCTTGTGCCAGGAATTGCTTGGCCTTGTGACCATGGAGGAGGCTGGGTTCTGGCCTGTCGCTTGCACGGTAACTTTGGGGTCAGTCCCTTGTTGTGGGGGCAGGGCAGGGAGTAGCACAGACTGTGGGCCTGAATGCCCTCACCTGACCCACCCAAGTGCAAAGCACTCACTGCTCTCCCAGTGCCCCCAGACGCCCACGGCTCAGCCTCACAGGGAGGAGGGAATCGTCCCTGGGTCGCAGAGCTTGGCATGGATCCCAGAAGTCCTGGTGCCCACACTCCACTCTCCAGGTCTGTAGGGAGGGCTCCATGCCCCATTACCCGGGGCTGCATTCAGAGATCCCCAGCCCTAGCAGGCCAAGCCAGCAGGGCAGGGAGCCAGCGTGGGGAATATTTCAGAAATGGGGGTGTCCAGCTTTGGCGGGGTTGTGGGCATGGCCAGGGGCTTTCCCGAGGGGAGGATGCCCCAGGTTCATGCTCTAGGTTTCTAGGAAAGGTGGCTTTTGTATGCATGGCTCCTGCTCCCCGGCAGGGCAGGTAGCCCAGGGGTCTGTGTCTCCACTTCCTATAGGTGGAAGGGCAGAACTGTCCCACAGCAGCGCGGTCTGAGCAATGGCCATGGCTCCCTCCTGCTCCTCGGGCATCGCTCACCCCTGGACACAGCGAGTGCGACGTACTCCCAGTCAAGACCCCCCAGGTGGAGATGACACCGCAAACCCAAAGGAGTTTGGAGGTCGGGGCCTACCCCAGGCTGCTCCAGACAGGGAAAGTGTCCAGTGTCGGGGCTGGCTTCCCCGCGCAGCTAGGGGCAGCTCCTCAGAGAGAGGGTTGGGGAAATGTTCCTGTCCCCCCCTCCAGGTCTGATTTGGGGACTCTCAGTGCTCTCTGGGTGGTGACAGGCCAGTCCCAGTCCCTGCCTGGCCAGTGGAGGTGCCACGGGATTGCGGGATTGGCTGTAGTGTCCTTGGGCCGGTGGAGACGAGGAGGGGCCAGCGCTGCAGGGCCCCAGGCAGCAGTCTGGGAACCTGTTCTCCCTCACCCTGGTTCTCTGTTGCGTAGGGACACTTCACTTGTCCAGGATCTCTCTTCACCATAGCCTGCTCTGCTCCTGTGGCTCATCCCAAAGCCTCCGGCATTCCAGCGAGGCCTGCACCCTACGCGCTGCAGACAGGGCTGGGGAAATGGACACCAGTGCTCGAGACTGGTCGTTGGGCTATGCCTGAGCTCTGTAACCCTGGCCTGGGCCTCTCCTGCCTCTCCGGGGGGTGGACTCTGCCTTTCTTCTCCAGCACTTCTCATCCCGAATGGGCTGCCCTGCACCACCACCACCTGGTCCTCCAGGACCTCGCCTTTCCTGGCCTTGTGCGCCAGCAAACCCCAGAGAGCCACCAGCAGACCGTGGAGAGCTGCCAGTTGCCACAGGGAACTGCACTAGCCGATCCCACATCAAGCTCGGCTAAGCCAGGCCATGGTACGCAAGCCTCATGGGCTTCAGCAGCCAGGACTGTGAGGGGAGACACTGCAGCAGGGGTTTGGCCTGGGGGGTGTGGGTTTGACCTGGATGCCTCGGTACATGGGTGCTGTAGCTGTAATCGTGCAGTGTGGGGCCGCTACCCTGGTCTCAGTGAAAGCGGCGGTGGGAAGAACCAAGAGTCAGACAGCGTGGTCTTCCTCATCATATTCCCTGGAGCCTCAGATAGCACCAGGCAGAGGCGGGCAGATCCTCCACAGCAATGGCCTCCAAGGCACACAGGAGAGAAGCTGTCACTGTCCCTGCTGCCACTACAGCCCTGCTGGCTGGGGTACTTGAAAGCGCTGCTTGTACCCGCGCCATGTGCTAGGCCCAGCCATTCAGGAATAACGTGGCAAGCTGTGCCCTGGGCATTGATAGGGAATTCTGTTCGGCTGTGTCTACGTGGGGTTTTTTATAAGATGTTTCCCTCCGGGCAGCCCCTGGAGACGGGGCTCCTGGGACCACCAGCATTTCACCTTCTGAATCCCACTGGTCCCTGCCAATGGAGTGGCATCAGGGGCAGTGATGGTGGGAGCTGTTTTGGAAAAGCCCCTGGTACAGAGAAGGCCCACGTCTCACCCACGTTCAGGAACACCTCCAGCACAGCTCTCTCGCATGTCCGGGGCCCACCCGTGTTGCTTGGCCTCGGGAGAAGAGAGCGCAGGCGTTGGAGGGAGTGTCCTTTTCACAGCCAGAGGAGAATTCTTTCTGTTCTGTACAGGCTCTTTTCCCACACCTCCCAACAGGGCATTAGGCAGCGTGACTCACGTCTGTCCTGGCTGGTTCGTTCTCTCTCACCTTGCCAGGGGAGCATTGTGCATGCCCTGCAGTGGTTGGCTTTTACAGCGTCCTTGCTGCTCAGGTGTGTGAGAGAAGGCGGGTCGGAGCAGTGCGCCTGGCCCTGGGAGCGGATGGTGGAGGTCTGGGACTGGCGACCATTACCCGAAGCAGGAGCATTTGATTGTGCCAGAGGAGTGGAGTCCTTGCTCATGGTCCTTGGCTCGGAGCTTTAGGCCTTGGACTGAACCCACTGTTGTACAGGAGGCCGGTGCAGGGAGCTGGTTTGATGTGCTCGCAGTGTCCGTGTTGCTGAGGAGACGTGCTGAGCACCCTGCACCAGCTAGAGTTTCCCAAGTAGCGATCGGGGGAGGTCCCGGATGACTGGAAAAAGGCTAATGTAGTGCCCATCTTTAAAAAAGAGAAGAAGGAGGATCCAGGGAACTACAAGCCAGTTAGCCTCACCTCAGTCCCTGGAAAAATCATGGAGCAGGTCCTCAAGGAATCAATTTTGAAGCACTTCGAGGAGAGGAAAGTGATCAGGAACAATCAGCATGGATTCACCAAGGGCTGGCTCTGTGGATGAGGGGAAAGCAGTGGACGTGTTATTCCTTGACTTTAGCAAAGCTTTTGACACGGTCTCCCACAGTATTCTTCCTAGCAAGTTAAAGAAGTATGGGCTGGATGAATGGACCATAAGGTGGATAGAAAGCTGGCTAGATCATCGGGCTCAACGGGTAGTGATCAATGGCTCCATGTCTAGTTGGCAGCCGGTATCAAGCCGAGTGCCCCAAGCTTTGGTCCTGGGGCCAGTTTTGTTCAATATCTTCATATATGATCTGGAGGATGGTGTGAATTGCACCCTCAGCAAGTTTGCAGATGAAACTAAACTAGGACGAGAGGTAGATACGCTGGAGGGTAGGGATAGGATACAGAGGGCCCTAGAGAAATTGGAGGATTGGGCCAAAAGAAATCTGATGAGGTTCAACAAGGACAAGTGCAGAGTCCTGCACTTAGGACGGAAGAATCCAATGCACCGCT